ATAACAGAAAAGACCGTGAAAACGTCTCTGACAGGAGTGGGTACAGTACTGAGGGACGAGACTCACGTCGTGTGTTTCTGTATGATTGTGTTTATAACAGAAAAGACCGTGAAAACGTCTCTGACAGGAGTGGGTACAGTACTGAGGGACGAGACTCACGTCGTGTGTTTCTGTATGTGTTTATAACAGGCAAGACCGTGAAAACGTCTCTGACAGGAGTGGGTACAGTATTGAGGGACGAGACTCATGCCGTGTGTTTCTGTATGTGTGTTTATAACAGAAAAGACCGTGAAAACGTCTCTGACAGGAGTGGGTACAGTACTGAGGGACGAGACTCGCGTCGTGTGTTTCTGTATGTGTTTGTAACAGAAAAGACCGTGAAAACGTCTCTGACAGGAGTGGGTACAGTACTGAGGGACGAGACTCACGTCGTGTGTTTCTGTATGTGTTTATGACAGAAAAGACCGTAAAAACGTCTCTGACAGGAGTGGGTACAGTACTGAGGGACGAGACTCACGTCGTGTGTTTCTGTATGTGTTTATAACAGAAAAGACCGTGAAAACGTCTCTGACAGGAGTGGGTACAGTACTGAGGGACGAGACTCACGTCGTGTGTTTCTGTATGTGTTTATGACAGAAAAGACCGTGAAAACGTCTCTGACAGGAGTGGGTACAGTACTGAGGGACGAGACTCACGTCGTTCTGTGGTTCGTGAAGGCCAGCGACCCTCGGCTGCACACAGGAGCCTACAGATGTCACATGGACTTCCTACGACAACAGCTCTTACGGCGAGGTCAGTGATGTATAAAATATCCTACGTACAAAACAATAGATGGGTCAACTAATACTACTTGTTCTAAGGTCTAAACATTCTTTGGTATATTTACCTATTTGTACACAGTAAGGTTTATTGCCTTCTAGGATGAAATTAAATTTATCTATAGCATGAAATGTAACAAATTCTGTTTTCTACGTTGCCTCTTTCGACTTTTTAGCGGACTGCATCACAAACAAAATTCGGCTACAGCATGTATATGTGACAAACGCAGCCATGTTCAATGCTGTTTCGTTGGAGTGTACACAATGTATGTTGTGCACGAATAGGACTATAGTAGTTCAGGGAAAAATAAAGCCACCATTCGTCTGAAGCCTTCCACTTATCATTAATTTGTAATCTTTGTTTAAATGAGGACTTTTCCACACTTTATTTTCGGCTCGATTCTGTTTTTTTTAATAAAGGAATCTTAAAATACTAGGGTTTGTGTACCTTTGCGTATAACGTTATTAGCTTGGTAGAACTGTATATCGATATTGGTGTTTTCTGTTTTCCTGTATCCTGTTATATTTCATCTGACCCTTGCCTCCTCATTTATATATGGCCGCAATGTTAAGTTGCAGACCAATTTGAGCTTTTTCGTGAAAATGAAGACTCAAAGAAAGCAAAACAAGTAAACAAAGCTGTGGGACATTGTATGTTCCCACCTAATCAGCTTCCTGTTTCAGGTGTGGGAACAAGATAGGTTGCATGTACGTATATGTCAGGACTCGAACCTCGGACCTCTTGGTTTAGATCGAGTCGAGCACTCTGTCGTTTAATACGCCACGCGACCCCGACAACATTGTAACGTTCCCAATGACCTTCCTGTTTCAGGTGTGGGAACAAGATAGGCGCACGTGGCATGTCAGGACTCGAACTCGGGACCTCTTGGTTCCGAGTCGAACACTCTTTCGTTACGCCACGCGACCACACCAACATTGTAATGTTTCCAATGACCTTCCTGTTTCAGGTGTGGGGACAAGATCGGAGGCTGATAATGTCAGGACTCGAACCCGGGACCTCTTGGTTCCGATCGAGTCGAGCACTCTGTCGTTTACTACGCCACGCGACCACACCAACATTGTAATGTGTCCAATGGTCTTCCTGTTTCAGATGTGGGAACTAGATCGGTGGCATGTCAGGACTCGAACCCGGGACCTCTTGGTTCCGAGGCGAGCACTCTGCCGTTACGCCACGCGACCCCAAGAACATTGTAATGTTTCCAATGACCTTCCTGTTTCAGGTGTGGGAACAAGATCGGTGGCATATCAGGACTCGAACCCGTGACCTCTTGGTTCCGAGTCGAGCAATCTGCCGTTACGCCACACGACCACAACAACGTTGTAATAATGTTCCCAATGACCTTCCTGTTTCAGATGTGGGAACAAGATCGGTGGCATGTCAGGACTCGAACCCGGGACCTCTTGGTTCCGAGGCGAGCACTCTGCCGTTACGCCACGCGACCCAACCAACATTGTAACGTTCCCAATGACCTTCTTGTGTTTCAGGTGTGGGAACTATGACCATCCTCACGCACGAAGACGAGTTAGGCGCCCAGGAGAACACCCCTGCCGAGAGAAAGAAGCTCGCGGACGCTGCGCGAGAGATCACCGGCAGCATTCCAGACAACACCTACTTCCTGACAAACCTGATCAAGGGACAGACATTCTCCGACGAAAACAGACTGAAGGTTCTAGAGATCATCAAACGGTCACTGGAGCTCTCAGAGAGCACCATCAAGACACGGCAGACAAAGAGGAAAATGCGTGCAATGATGTCAAAACGTTAGCCTGTGTAATGCATTGTTACCTCCGGGGGAGGAGACATCCTTCCGCGGAAGGGTTTTGTGAGAGATGTAGATTTTCATGTTCGCAGCTGTTTCTCGCGTTTGGGTGGACGGATTCTTTTGAGACTCGGTATATGTTTTGCTATTGGGCTGCAGATGATGCACGTTCTTTTGTTTTTATTGTATATGTGTTTTCGGGCGTGAAAACGGTGCCTTTTGGTGGCCCCAGAACACAACTTTGAGCGTGAAATTGGTCGCGACCGTTGACCTTTGGCGTCTATTAGGTATTGTCGGTCTCGTCCACGAAGGTGACCCCTCGCACAGAGGGGTGTCCGGTCTCTATAAATTCTTTGTTTAAAACCCTATATAGAAATATACAAGCCCGGAGGTATAAAATCTCAGATTTTACTTGTTAGATATGGTTACAAAAAGCAAAGAGATCACTGCAGACATAGCTTTTCATCTCATTTATTCAGTACATAAATTTACTTTCACTGGAAAACGTTATAATTGATAAAAGTCGTGATATTAAACTCTTTCTCTAATAGTTATCCCTTTTTTCATATAAGAATTCCATGTAAACATTATATGGAAACATGAGATAACATGTCCTTATCTCATTTTTTTCCATATAAGCATACATTCAACCCTTATGTGGAGAATAAATGTGAGAAATAATCAAGTCTATCATTGCAGATATCGGCTCGTATCTAATCAATTGTTTCAACAATGATGGCCTTAACATTTAGTTTTGTCCAGCATAATTCAAAGTGTACGTGTATCAGTGTCCAAGAAAGTTCTAAATGCAGAGACAGACGTTTAGTCCGAACATCATATGACAACAAGTTAGAAAATACTTTCACTGTGTGGTATATTTTAACAAACATCATTATAAGTCGATAGATATTAACTATTGTGTGAATATATAGCAAGTTTGTTCATGGTATTTTATTCATTCACTTGATATGTGCAGTATTTTCTGCAAGAAATAAGACATTCGTATAACCTGTTTGTGTATTCCATTAAATTACTGATTGTTATTAAAAGAATAAAAATGCAATAACATCCTGGAATGAAATTTTACTTGTATTCATGGTCTATCGAACATTAGCTATAGTGTATCATACTTTTCAGAATAGAGTTTGGGCATAACGTTCTGTATTTGAAGTAAGTATATTTGAAATAGTTTACACATTTTATGCCCCGTAGCATACTATGATATCACCCATATCAGTGTATGGGAAGATAACGAAAGTGATAGTCCTTAAAATCCTTTATAGGGGACGTCTCTTCATTGCGTAGTGTCTAGTCAAGCTGAACCGGTGTAACAGTTCTGGTCCCCCCCGGAGGCGATTTAGTCTCCCAAGGGGCGAGATCGTCATGATCTGATATTTGGTCCCCAGGGGGGCAGAAATCACTAGGGGACGAAATCGCTGTGACACCAGGACTAAAGACTACATGTATTGCCAAACTTGGATATCTTTCTACGCGTCGTTTCGTTCCAGACAGGACTCATCAGGAACAGATAGCGGTAACAAAACAGGGCATAATCAGAAAAAAAGGGGCAATACGAAAGTGGCAACCAGAATATAGAGTAGGATATGTCGAATTCATAACACGTCCAGGCATGCTGTATGCATCACTGCAAACAAAGATTGGACAGATTATACCGGCTATTATGTATAAACTGTACATTGAACCGAATACTAAAATCGCTGTTGGTAACTTCAAGACCCCGTTCGTACCAAGGACACGACATAATTTGCTTCTGAAACGTTCTCAATCGGGAGGTTTATGCTGTGTTATTAGTATGGACTCCGATCACCCACCTACGTAGCCTGGTATCCAGTCTTACGTGATTGGGGGTATTGGGGTGTTCAGGCAGGTTGTGTCTTCGGGGGCTCTAATAGCTTCCCCCGCCCAGTGCAACAGGCCGTCCCGGTAGGAGAGTTACGCTAATAAGAGACAGTATGCTTGGGGATTTGGTTCGTGGAGGGCTAATTAATCTCTCGTGAAATACACACCGGGAAACCTATGTGAGGCGGGCGGGCCAGAGCTCTTACGGCCCCGACCACGATCAGACTGGATACCAGGCTACCACCTACGAACACCCACTCAAAGGCAAGTTGGCTCAGAGCCAATATCGCTGGTTTCGGTGACGCAAGGCTTGGCAGCGGACATTTGGCACGGCTGTGAGAGAGAGAGACAGGCGAGAGAGAGCGATCACAATTACCTCCACAGTCATGGCGTCCTCTCCGAAATCCAACGACGTTCTCATCATCAACTGTGACGAGACGTACCCGCTAGATTCCGTGGAGGCGCTGGTCAAAAAATCGTCTCAAACTACCCGTGTTGACACCGCTATCGAGCCGGTACGTTTTTCGCTGCCGAAGCTGGCAGAGGTCAGCGAGGAAGTGAAAGGAAAACAACTTCTGTGCGCCATTCTGGTTCTCAACGCACATGAGTCCCGACTTTCTATAAACGAGAAGAACGCAGGAATCGGCTACGCTGTTCTCTATAGGGCTCTGAGGGAGGCGTCTGACGGTAAGAATGTGTGCATTTATTTTAATTCACAATGGCTTTTATGAATGAAAGACCTTTATATATTGTACATTTGTGCTCTAACAAGCTAAGTACAGGTCATGAATAGACAAGGAAAAGGATACAGCAATTGCACTTAAACTATACATACTAATGTGGTCTACTGTTTACATGTTCGCCTTCTTCTCGCTTCTTGACGCAGTTATAGATGTACGAGCATATGGAACCAATAATACATGATTTGTCAAGTTTCATAAGAAATCTGAATTTTTCTACTTCATTTAAATGTCCAAAGCTGGGGAACTTATCTAGTATATAAGAATATAGGGAATCTCTCTATTATGGTATCAGACAGCTACAACGACCTACATGTATATACTAGACTTTCAGATTCTTTCCCAGCATTCACCACAATGTACTTGGAAAGAAAATTTAAATACATATTGACTTGTGACAGCCCCTATGCTATACATAGGAATATATATTAAAGACTGTATGGATATTAGAAACTCCTCCAACGATTGTATAAGTTGATACCTATCTCATACTAGCCACCCACTTTTGTATCAGATTAGCCTTATGAAAATGTAGTTGACATGTACTTACTTAAGTTAGTAGATGCCATACTTTGTACACTGTACAATTGTTGCGCAATAAAGTTATCTCTTGTATATATAATGTTGCGAGAAATAATAGAAACTTTAGTTGCAAAATCATGCCCGAAGGCTAATTGCTTTCACAATCAAGGACAGTACTACTCTGTGCAATACAATAATCAGAAGGCAGACAACAACTGTCTGGAAAAACTTATACTTCTACTTCTACTACTACGCTAGCTATTGTGAGAATAACGTTACACAACATGTACACTTGTGTAATTACTTGCTTATTTCGAGTACAAATATGCACAGGTGAACTTAGGGGCACTGATAATGAGCCCAAAAGCGTAAATTTTGCCAGAATATGGCTTCCTGAAGACTATAACGATTTTAGAAATAACGATCTTAAAAATATAGCAATATGATTCATGTTTTAAATCCTTTAATTGATAGCTGTTTTTTAATATTGTGATTGATTTTAAAGATGTCACATGTAAATTAGCATAATACTTCAGACTCTACTATTATGTAAGTCTGCTTTTTTCTAATAAAGTCATTGTCATTGTCAGGCATATGTAGGCATATGTTCTTAATTGTTCAAGAGCTAAGCATGAAACTTGTAGGCTAGGGACCATAAATACGTGCAAAGAATAGTCGCACATTGCTGAAGATTCTCTAGTGGGGTAGGATACGTAGTAATGTATGAATTTGTACATTTCAGGTCGAGTACTTGTTGTGATCGGCTCAGACGAAAAGTCCTCGGCGGCAGACGGGAAGGTCGTGTCCAACTGGGTCCGCTACAAAGTCGCGTCGCAGTTCGAAGACGAGTACCTCGACGGCAGGAGAGGTTTCGTGTTCTCCTGGGGGAAGAGCTACTACCCCGTGCACGAGGAAGCGTTCCAACAGTACCTGCGCGCCATCGGCAGTGGTAAGGACGGCTTGGACAAACCGTTCTCACCGGCCCCCGTGCATCGTCGTCCTGATCCAACGCCGATCCAACCGGCAAAACAGCTACCAGGACAAGGCCAAGAGTCAGCGCCAGCGCCTTCAGTTGTCGGCCCGCCACCTCGTGCATCCCCTAACGGTGACAACATACTAGTAGTCACGCCATCAACATCAGCACACCCACCAACCAACTCAACGAGTACTCGGGTAACCCAGCCGAACCCAGAGCCACCGAGGGGCACCCAAGTCAAATCTACAGGACCAGCTCAAACCCAGAGCTGGCCCGTACTACCCGAAAAAGGACACCCTAAGGCCCCAGGACCAGTAGATGTACAAAGACAAGAAACGGAAGACCGGTTGAGGGCTCACTTTGCTGAACTAAAACAAAAGTACCCTGAGTACCGAGGTAAACTTCTTGGCGTGATCAAGTATGGAAGGTTAGATGTGGGGTATACCTATGCTCTGGACGAGAGCGTTCTGCACTTTGAGGTTCCTAAATACATTACAAAAACGTTCTATGACGAACAGAAGGCAACTGGTGTGATAGATGTGGTTATCTACGAGGATCCCAAAGATGGCGAACTAGCGTTTATGTACTTGGACGCTACAAAGTCTTCTAAGTCAAAATCTTCTAGCGGTTGGCGATGGCTGTTCAGTAGGAAGTGACATCTGTAGATATTGTTTGCTCAGTATCTATAGTCATGCAGCCGCGGCATGCAAATTAATTAGTGTTCACTACAATATGCTTTAAAAATGTACTAAGCTATGAATTTCAAGTTAATGAATTAAACTTTTGAGAGAAAGAGAAACCCCTATACAGAATATCAGAACTAATAACTGGTTGGGCCAATCCAATAGTTGCACGTATATAATGTGAAAGTATGATCTGTGTAAGAATTATCTAGAACGTTCTTGTACTTTTTTCCTTTGGTACGAGATCAGAGATGTGTATTACTTACCCTTGATACTGAAACCATTGTGTTGATTTTCCACTTTAATGAAGGAGCAAAAATGTAATGTTTCATTGAAATTGATAAAACTAGTGGTATTCAAACTACGTAGGCTTGCAAGCTAGTTGTAGCATTTCATCCTTAAGAACCTGTCTTCAACCAATATTACAAAATTAACCTGTGTGAGAAAAAAGCTGTTACTGTCTATAAAAAAATATTCTGTAAATGGATGCAGCATGCAATGCTCGATTAATACCATATTCTGAACCAATCAAGGAACACTATAGTGGATGTACAGAATGTAGTTTTCGGAGCAAGTTGATAATTGAAGGACTGACTTTCATTCTTGCACCTTGCTGTACAGTATTAGCTACTTTTGTGGTATAAACCTAATTAATTATGCCCACCTTACCACAGCATATGTAACACTTCATTGGACTTTATCTACATGTATGTACTAGTGAGATGCAACAATTGATGTATTGTGAAGTCTGCTGATAACATCTGTGTCCATAATATCACCAGGGTCCATAATATCGCCACCTTGAGAAATAGTGTGCTTAAAGATATTTTTACTGCAACATACCCTAGGTATGTACATTTGATGTGTGAAGGAGTGCATACCAAAAGCATGTTGCAGTAAAAATATCTTAAAGCACACTATTTCTCAAGGTGGCGATATTATGGACCCTGGTGATATTATGCACACGGATGTTAACACTTCATTGGACTTTATCTACATGTATGTACTAGTGAGATGCAACAATTGATGTACATGTATTGTGAAGTCTGCTGATACAGTTCGACAAATACAAGAAATGTGTTGGATATGGCTCTGTTCACAATATATGAACTGTGAAAAATGTATCTTGTTGCAAGTGTCGTCTTTGCACGTGCCTCCCACATTATTGAAGTCTGAGTATATTGCTATATCATGACCAGCGAGAACTTCTATCCCTACACTACACCCTACGTACCCTGTGAAGATAATCTTTGGCATGGTCTTCAACAACAAAACCACAAGATGACCAAAGATGACACTGAATATAATCTTACTAAGTTTCAAAGTTCAATTCTAGGGATTCGAAGGAAAGCCTATATGTCGATCCAGATATAGCTACACCTAACACATCATAAAGTAATAATATATGCATAGCAAGGAAACCTAAAATAGTGACGACCTATCAAGTGGTCAAAGGAAAATAAACTAACAAAATCGAACATCAGTTTAAAACAATACACCATATATATAGACAATGCAAAGACAGAAGTGAAACATAAAAGTCACAAAATTCCATAATTCCAATTGATCCACACTAATGCATGTGTATTGTCCAGGTTCTTCAGTCTGACCAAGGAGGTTTTTAAACCTCCTTGGTCAGACACATCTGACAACTACTGTCCAAGCAGGGGTTGATGGTGGAAGATCGTTTGCTTTTTATATATGGCCCATTTTCTTTTGTCGCTACCACCAACTTGGTGATAGCGAGAAAAAAACACTTGGTGGTAGCAACAAAAAAAAAACACTTGGTGGTAGCAACAAAAAAAAAACACCTGGTGGTAGCAACAAAAAAAAACACCTGGTGGTAGCGACCAAAAAAACCACTTGGTGGTAGCGACAAAAAAACACTTGGTGGTAGCAACAAAAAAAAAACATTTGGTGGTAGCGACAAAAAAAAACACTTGGTGGTAGCGACAAAAAAAAATGGTGGTAGCGATAAAAAAACTTTTGGTGGTAGTGACAAAAAAAAACCCACCAATATTTGGTGGTGGCGACAAAAGAAGGGCCATATCGTATAAAAAACAAACGATCTTCCACCATCAACCTCTGCTTGGAGAGTTCTTACTACATACATATTCAAAACACCAAACCTTACGACCCTTGAACATGAAAGAACAACATGCCAAAGTGATGACTCATGCTAACAAGAAAAGTGACTAAAAAACAAGACCAGGCTACTGGATACAAAAAGGTAACATCTATAAATGGCAGTTCTCAGGATGTAAGGCCATACCAATTAAATTTGTTGTTTCTCGGATTTTTCCAGAAAAAATATGGAGCAACAGGGCAAAATAAAAAAAAAACAGGCTAAGGCACCCTGTGAAGGCTGGAAATGTTACGGTATGAGCCATGAAATCAACATACCAGGCTGGTTTATAATTAAAACTGTTACAATAGATTTTGAACTTTTAATGAAACAATGTTGCATTGTTACATTGAAAAACTTTAACAACTAGGAAGAAAAGGACTTTCTTCAACCATTGGGGCCAAAATATGTCTTTCCTTGATCATTTTGCAGTTGATACAGAACTTTTAATTATTATTATTTTTTTGCAAATCAGAAAAAAAATGGACAGGGTGAATCCGAGAAACAACAAATTAAATTGGCGTGGTCTAAATGTAGAACTAAAACAACAAGCTACTATTGTTTCAGGTGGAAGGAAAAATGATGATGAACCAAAGTGTTTGTTTTCAGATGTTCATATACACAACATATATAATTATATTTGGATGTCATAAACTGATGTATTCAATAAAACATGTCACCCAACAGGCCACCTCTAGCATAAAATCAGAGCACACAAAGGATCTCATAGATTTATCTTGGTGAATTGGACAGGTGTGTTTTAGTTCTAAGGCCACACCAATTTAATTTCTTAATGGATTTTTCTAGAAATATAATGGAGCTGGCGGGAGATCGAAAAAAAAATAAAAATAAAAACAGGCCTAGGCATCCTATTATGGCCCAAAATGGTACGATAGGAGCCATGAAGTCAACACACCAGGCTGGTTCAAAATTTAAACAATGAATTTTGAACTTTTAATGATACCATAGCATTGAAAGATGGAATAACTGTAACAACTAGGAAGAAATGGACTGTTTTTAACTGTTCAGTGCAAAATATGAGCATTTTGCAGTTGAATCTGAATCTTTTTTTTTTTTGCAATTCAGAAAAAAATTAAAGCAGGCAAATCCATTAACCAAGAAATCAAATTGGTGTGGCCTAATTAAGCTGATCACAGGCAAAATGCTGAATTACTTCTAAGACATCTTAAAAATACAGTGGGAACACTGGAGATACATACTTGTGTACCGCTATGTTGCTGTGCCTTTTATTAGACTCGAGCCTTTCAGAAAGCGGGTCAGAATTTAGAAACAAGAAAATGCACCCTCTGCTAATTACCAAAACTTAAACCATGTTTGCCTTTAGGTACACTTGTGAGCATACATGTATGTTGACCAAAGCCAGACTGGTGTTGACCAACCTGACTTTGAAGCATGTTACAGATCCGGCTGAACTTTTGATACCTTTGTTTAGGCCACACCAATTTAATTTGCTGTTTCTCGGATATTTTCAGAAAATATATGAAGCGACAGGGCAAAATAAATAAATAAAAAAAAACAGGCCAAGGCACCCCATGATAGCTGGAAATGTTATGATATGAGCATTGAAGTCAACATACCAAGCTGGTTTATAATTAAAACAATAGATTTTGAGCACTAGATTTTTAATGAAACAAAGTTGCATTGCTACATTGAAAAATTTTAACAACTAGGAAGAAGAGGACTTTCTTCAACGTTGGGGCCAAAATATGTCTTTCATTGAGCATTTTGCAGTTGATTCAGAACCTAAAATCTTCATTTTTTTTGCAAATATGAAAAAAATGGACAGGGCGAATCCGAGAAACAACAAATTAAATTGGTGTGGCCTTATGATGCAACTCATGTACCAGATGACTGGTTTGGAGCCATATGGGGATAACTGCACTTCTCCTATAGTCTCTATCAGGTTTTGGGAAGCGGATGGGAATAGATATTGGCCAAGAAGACAAGATGATACACCAGAGGAGTTGCTCTGCGCTGAGAAAACAGTAAGGCCACACCAATTTAATTTGTTGATTTTTGGATTTTTTCAGAAAAAAATATGAAGCGACAGGGAAAAAAATAAAAACAGGTCCAAGCATCCTATTATAGCCCCAAATGCTTCGACAGGAGCTATGAAATCAACACAAAAGGCTGGACTAAAATTTTAACAATGAATTTTGAACTTTTAATCAAACCACTGCATACTAGATAGATGGTGTATCATCTGTCTTTTTGGCTAATATCTACTCTCTCCAACCACTTCCTGGGGCCTGGTAGAGGCTAATTGTCCTTCTTTGCTTACAAAGGATAGCCTGGGTACCATCCTGGTGAGTTTACATCAACTCCCACAGTCGTAGCTGGTGGGAGCAACTGTGGGAGCCAGGATGGTACCCAGGCTATAAGAAGCAATGATGAGGATTGAAACACAAGTGGGCATCTGCAAACCCAATGACTGTACTTCTATAACCTGTGGGGAAATTAGTGGTAGCCTGGGTACCATCCTAGCAACTGTGGGAGCGGATGTAAACTAACCAGGCTAAATTAGTGGGTCACTCAGTTGGATTTACAATTTATGGCTACCATGATGACAATCAAAGATGCTAGTTAAGCCTAAAGCAGCATCTTCAGCTGTCACAAAAACTATTAAAACAAAATTATACACTGCAGCCTGTGAAGGTGTTTGAATGCATGTAAAAAGCAAAAATAAATTTATATTCTTTCTTAACAGGTGGGTTCCAGTTCAGAGCACATACGACCGTGCAAGTGCTGGACTTCCAACAGAAAAACAAGTCTATAAATACTATTCAATCTTCTGTCACGGTAGAAGGCAAACAACTGATAAGTCACACAATAGAGGGCTCAATTGACATATCAAGTTGAAGATATTTGTGACTGTACAAATGCTGTACAAAGGTCTATCATTCACTCTCCTGTCGACATGGGAGAAGGTAAATAAAACCATGTGTCGCACAGAAGAGGGCTCACTGAACAATAGATTGATTGACAGAAGTGAAAGTAAACAGTGAGTTACCTTGCAGCCTCCACTAAATTTTATCAGATAATAATGCCACACCAATTTGATTTCTTGGTTAACGGATTTTTCTAGAAAAATAATGGAACGGGCGGGCGAAAAATAAATAAAAATAAAAACAGGCTTGGGCATCCTATTATGGCCCAAAATGGTACGATAGGAGCCATAAAGTCCAGGCTGGTTCAAAATTTGAACAATGAATTTTGAACTTTTCATGATACCATTGCATTGAAAGATGAAATAACTGTAACAACTATAGGATAAAAAGGGCTGTTTTCAACTGTTCAGGGCAAAATATGAGCATTTTGCAGTTGATTCTGAATTTTTATTTTTATTTGCAAATCAGAAAAAAAATGAAGCAGGCGAATCCGTTAACCAAGAAATTAAATTGGTGTGGCCTAAGCAAATCTTTAAAAAAATGTTTGCCTTTAAAACACACTTCTAAGCATATGTTGACCAAAGCCAGACTGATGTTGACCCAGACTTAGCTATCTTCCAGATTCATCTAGTGGGCATCTAAGAAATGCTCAAATTGAACCCAATGAAACCACCTGTTATGCTGTACAATAACTTTCCCTGACAATGTGATTGAACCCCACACCCATATACAAGGATCATACAGTCAAACCTGTCCAAACCGGCCACTCTGGGGACCAAAGAAAAGTGGTCACCTTGGACAGGTGGTCTCCTTGAAGAGGATCACCTCACAACATGACTGAGACACAAATGGTTTCCAAGTCGAGATGTTCTAATGTCAAATGCTGCAAATGCATGTGGGGAGGGTGGCACATGGAACAATTTACCTCGAACAAAACATCATCCAGCAGTCAAGGTAGACTGGCTGGTTTCTCCATGATTTCTCATTAGTTATCACCAATAATCAACATGATCGAAAATGATGTATGGGCAGGTATCAGGCCTTGGGCGGACCGAACAAAGGGTGGTCATGGTCGCATTAGCCAGGTGGTCACCTTGGACAGGTTGCTTAATAGTTGGGTCAATGGGGAAATATTTGAGAAAAAGCAGTCACCATGGACAGGTGGCCTGCTTGAAGAGGTGGTCTCCTTGGCAGGTTTGACTGTGTAATGCCACCATCTTTCCATCTTTCTTCCTCTAGTCATGGGTTATCATGAACATCATACCTTATGACCTGATGGAACAAATTAAGAATACTACAAATATATGAATTTTCATGCCAGCATTAATGAAATCTAAGTTTAAGGTTCATCTGTGTTGGTAGAATTCATTCTAATGTGATTTTCAACACAAGGAAAAGTTGTACTTGCTCCAGTTTTTTCACTGTACAGCACTAGTGTGTAACTGTAGAGATACAGAATTCAGAAGACAAAGACATTGGTAATTATGAAATTCAATGTAATCGCATGTTGTGAAGGCGATTGAATGTAAAAGCAAAAAGGAAAGGAATTTATACATTTTCTAGTGTGTTCATCAATTCAGAGCACATACAAGTATCAACTTAAAGATAAAAAGTAATTTGTGACAACGGAACCCAGAACCGTACAAGCATTTGGCATCCAACCAACAGAAAAACAAGTCTGGTACCATTCAGTCTCTAGTCACGGTAGAAGGCAAACAAACTGATAAGTCCCACAATAGAGGGCTCAAGCAACATATCAAGTTAAAGATATTTTAAGACTGTACAAGTACGTGCCTCCAACAGAAAAACAAGTCTATCATTCACTCTCCTGTCATGGGAGAAGCCATAAGTCACACAGAAGAGGGCTAAAGGAACAATAGCCTGACAGAAGTGAAAGTAAACAGTGAGACACCTTTTGGCCTCAGTGATTGTGTGAACTGGTTCATTAAAACAACCTTTTAGGCAATTCAGCTACTTTCCAGCTAAATTGAAGCAAACCTTTTTTGGCATACACTGTACACTTGTGTACATAGTTACAGACCATCACTGGTATCAGTGCTTTATGGCTGTTCAGTAATCTATTGTCAGTGCAGAGTTGATTAAGTCTACTGTCATTTTAATACGTCACAAGAAATTTTCTTTCTTTCTTTTGTCAACTTCAAAATTAAATAATGCTTAAAGGCATCAATATTAAGTACAATAATAGATACGACACTATAGTAACTAAAACAATAGATACAAAACTTGCCAACCATTATTTTTGTGAATTCATAGCGTGCTTGCAGCATTTTCTCATTGTCCGAAAAGTCTGGGCAGACTTATTAATGACGCACATTCATGCATGAAAAGATGAAATATGATTTTCAGATGTCAGATGATACCCTAGTCATGGCTAAATGTGCAAATTTCGAACTACAATGTTCACTACTTCAAAAGTGAAAGGAGAACATGTCATGCATAATTTAGCAGTGAGTCAGGGTGCGAAACTAAAAACAAGAGGATCTTTACAAGTGAAAGGAGAACATGCCTTAGGCCACACCATTTTAATTTCTTGGTTAACAGATTTTTCTAGAAATCTAATGGAGCGGGCGGGTAAAAAAAAATAAAAACAGGCCTAGGCATCCTATTATGGCCCAAAATAGTACGATAGGAGCCATGAAGTCAACACACCAGGCTGGTTGAAAATTTAAACAATGAATTTTGAACTTTTAATGATACCATTGCATTGAAAAATGGAATAACTGTAACAACTAGGAAGAAAAGGACTGTTCAGGGCAAAATATGAGCATTTTGCAGTTGATTCTGAATTTTTATTTTTATTTGCAAATCAGAAAAAAATGAAGCAGGCGAATCCGTTAACCAAGAAATTAAATTGGTGTGGCCTTAGCAATGTCTGAGGGTGCCAAGCTAAAACCAACAGGATCTTCAAAAGTGAAAGACGAACATACAATGTACCATTTCAATGACTCAGGGTGTGAAACTATAAACAAAAGGGCTCGAAAATTCATTTTTGGGAATAGGTGCACTGGTGCACCGGCACCCAACCTAAAAAAATTAGGCGCACAAAAAAGTTTTTGGGTGCACCATACGAAACAAAACCTAGTAACAGATTCTTCAATCTGCTCCTCTTCTGAGCTTTAATCTTAATTGGGAGCTAACTTGAAAATCTTACAAATCAAGTACATTTATTACAACAAAGATTTTATTATTTTTCTGATACTTGGATGCCAAGAATATCCTGTATACCATTACACATTTGATATGACACACAAAAATACCTACAAAATATTTGGGTACAGAAAGAAATTGGGTGCACTCCAAATTTGGGTGCACTAAGGTGCACATTGACATGCACACAGTATTTTGAGCCCTGAACAAGGTGACCTCCAAAAGTGAAAGGGCACATGCATCCGGCATGGGTTACACTGTTACAGTGTACAAAACAAGTGAACAATGGCTTCAAAAGTGAAAGGGCACCTAAAGGAGTGATGACTCATGGCATGTGAAACTAAAAACAAGACATCATCAGAAACTGGCAACATGCATCGGGGATGATGCAAGAATGGATCAGAGAGGACACTAACATTGTGGGCAGTTTTGATAAAGAAGACCAAGTTAGACATTTCACAATTCTGTCTGATGCTTTATTGCGCTCTCCATGTACATGTATCTTCGTCCTGTTCCATCATTTTCAAAACAAACAAATGGCAGCTATACCAGCTGTACACTACAGGATACAGATTTCTTCAAAGTGGATGTTAATGAATTTTAAAACCATTTTTGAAACTCATATTACAAAGATTACACTGTAGAATCACAATGTCATGTACGTCAAAATGCTTAAGCACCATCACTGAATGGTATATTTTTGTATTCTCAGTTAAGGAGAGTGGTGAAGAGCTAAATTTTTTGTATTACATGTACCTAAATTATCTTTTACTATAGAGTTTGAATTCACAGGACTGGTGACATCTGTCCATGTGGATATTAATAAACTGTGTTTTAAATGATAACAGTTCTTGAATAGCAAAGTTCTTTGGTCACAACCATTTATTTTTCACGAGCCGACGTTTTGGTGACCGTCTGTCATCTTCATCAGGGCAATTCTGACTGGTTTACTGTGCACTGACACTAGATGTTACTTGTTGCATATAGTGCACTAAAGGTGTTAAAAAGTTCACAGTGCTAACACCTTTAGTGAACTATGCACCAAGTAACATCTAGCGTCAGTGCACAGCAAACCAGTCAGAATTGCCCTGATGAAGATGACAGACGGTCATCGAAATGTCGGATGGTGAAAAATAAATGGTTGTGACCAAAGAACTTTGCTATTCATTCGTTTACCAACCTGATGAAATTATTTACGAAAAGAGTTCTTATTTTATTCCAGAATTAGTCATAGTTTTGGCAGTGCAGACTCCCTTCCCAGCCACAGTGAAGGGAACCCCCTTGTACGTGGCGACCTTGTCCGAGGTGACCTGTAGGTCAGGTTGTACTGTCTCCCACACTTTCTTCTTAGGCTGTAGGACTGGGTCTGGCTCCCCTGGAATAGGAAATGCATGGAATTTATTAGTCATACTTTAAACATGCATCGCCATTTGTGTAGCATCAAGCAGTTGAACCCAATGTAAGGCCACAATATTTTGATTTTAAAGATAATATTCTCGGAAGACCCAACACATACTGAACATTTTCTGTGAATAATATATTTATAATATTATGTCTTTGGTTTCACAAAGCTTCTCAAAGGGTTCCTACCATAGCAATTATAAAGGCACAAGCACTGTTATCTATCTTTGCCCATCTATCTGAAGCAGTGAGACTTTTTCCCCATTTCCCCCTTGCCCATCCGTCTAAAGCAGAGGAGGCTTGAGATAAAATCTTGTATGTTTGTTTGACAAAACTTTTGTAAAATGGTTCATTGAACTCACGGAATTACAAAAGAAGAAGAAAAACAGGAATGCAACCTCACCTGGGTATACGGTGATGAAGGTTAGACTTCCAGATAAACAATTATAATTCAAAGACAAATCAAGCTCTACTATTGGATAAATTATGGAGATTACTTCCAGACGTTTCAAGTGACATCAGTTAGTCTTCTTCAGCGTCACTAAAAGACATGACACTGTCACTGAAGAAGAATAGCCTCCACCAGGCCTTTCTATGGGAATACGGATCATAGAATTTGGCAAAAAAGAGAGTAAATTGGCCAAGGGAGTCTGGCCGCAAGATGGTTGTTTCTTTCCCTGCGTGGCCAGTTCAACTATAAGGCGGCCAAACTCCCCTGGTAAATATTCTCCTATATATAGCCAGCGTGGTTAGTCTGGTACAGACTAGAAGAAGAGTGTGTCACTCAAAATATTTGGTAGTTGTCTCCGTAACTCACCTGGGTATCCTTCGAACGTGATGCGATCCCCAGGCTGGCTGCCGGCTGGAGGATCCAGGAGTTCCACCTTGTCTGGTGAGCTGGCACACATGACCATGGCCTGGGACGTGATGCCACGCATCTTAGCAGGCTTCAGGTTACACATGGCGATCACGATACGGTCCTGCATCTGTGTGGAGTACATGTAGTAAAGTGTTTCTGTGTACTTCCGAAAATAATTTCATCAGGTTGGTAGAACTTAGGAGACAGGTATTTCTTTTTAAACAACCGGTAAATTCTCACCTTGCTGACGTTTCGGTGTCTGTCAGACACCTTCTTCAGAGCACTGCATCTGTAGAGGGACACGCTATATGTAGAGGGACACGTTTGGGACAGTGTTCTCGCCATACATATAGCATGTCCCTGTACAGATGCAGTACTCGAGTCAGAAGCTCTGAAGAAGGTGTCTGACAGACACCGAAACGTCAGCAAGGTGAGAATTTACCGGTTGTTTAAAAAGAAATACCTGTCTCTTGTTTCTGTGTACCTGTTTCTTATACAACAATATGACAGTGATGACAGAAGAATTGTATATGTAACCGGACAGTGCGTGAGTGAGTGTGTGTAGTTATTGTTGCAATTTTAATGTGGAAGGGCTCCAGGAAGAATAGTAGGAACATTTTTTCTGTTGTACTAATGGAGATCCAAATAAACATAAACATAAAAAGTGATGGCTGGATAAAACAACAATTCTTTTGGAAGAATGTGGAAAAAAAAATCTTAATATTCACATGTAAACTTTAAAATGAAGCTTCCTGTAACACTTTCAAAGCTTCAGCAACACGTCATTCATTGTGAAAACTTTTGTTTTGTTACAGTTATAAGTAACTATTACAAAGTATGACTTAATATCAATGGTAAAACATGGCAGCTGACACTTACAAAGCAAAAGAGCCCCCTGCAGCCTGAAAAGTAAAGTGCATGCTACATGTACATTGTGATTTACTTGGGAACATAGTATGTAATAATATAATGAGAGTGGCTGAAAACTTCTGCAATTTTGTGACTCATTTCTCCCTTTCTGAAAACAGATTCACAAGCACCTCTTTATAAATTTCCATATTTCTATGTATACAAGACAATTTTTGTCTTGCCTTGGTTAATAGAAAACCTGTCAAGATTGATACCAACTAGAAAGGTAACATAGAACTGCGTAACATATACCTTCACCTGGTCTAGCCCAACAAACTACTTGCCTTAATGGGTTTATTCTTCCTCAAAGTCAAATACATTCATATACATGTATATGGTGACCAGCCCCTCCAACTCTCCCCTGCTACATAATGTAACCCAACACCACAGGGTGTCTGCTACACAAGTTACCATGGTGACAGACTTCTGGTCCAGGTCAATGACTCTATTTGTTTGGAGAAGAAGAGGAAGAAGAAGAAACAGAGCAAAAACAGTATGTTTTCCTTCTGCAAAGGTAAACATTTAATATTAAACAGGCCATGTGTAGATACATGTAATGGCTAAGGTTTGACCCTTACCTCCTCCATAGGGACATGTTTGACCAGTCCACTGACCACAGTCCTGGGTGCCGTCTCTCCCACATCAATCTCCTCCACATACAGAGTGTCTGCATCAGGGTGCTTCTTCACAGACACGATACGGCCGATCCGCATGTCCAGTCTGGACACATCAACAGGCTTCTCCTCCTGAGGCGGTCCTCCCTTCTTCTTCTCACCTGGGCAGAAAGAATTCATTCATTAGGCCACACCAATTTCATTTGTTGTTTCTCAAATTTTTTCAGAAAAAAATATGAAGCGACTAGGGCAAAATAAAAAAAAAACAGGCCAAAGCACCCCAAAGCAACCCAAGTGAACATACCTGGCTGGTTTATAAGTAGATTTTTAACTTTTCATGAAACAAAATTGCTGTTTTATTGAAAAACTTTAAGAACTAAATTTTAACAACTAGGAAGAAAAGGACTTTCTTCAACCATTTCGGCCCAGATATGTCTTTCATTGAGCATTTTGCAGTTAATTTAGATTTTTTTGTTTTTTTGCAAATCAGAAAAAAATGGACAGGGCGATCCGAGAAGCAACAAATTAAATTGGTGCGGCCTAATCTCCAAGCAGATATGGTGGCATGGTAGTATCCATTGGCCAGAGGAGTGTCCATCTTCGGTGGCCAATGGACACTGTCTTGCCACCGTATGATCTGCTTGGAGATTACTAGTATTCATTTATAGACTTTGGGAAGAGGCACATAGATGAATGACAATGCACCATGATGTTCAGAAGTACAATGTACTATCATATGTAAATGTATAAACTATGACAATGGACAGCAAAGAGAGAGAGAGAGAGAGAGAGAGAATGGGAAAGCAAGATACAAGATCTAAGGCAAAATCTACCTCAACCCTCAGGTACAATGTATTTCTATGCCATTTATAATACATTCCTACCTACTCTCTGCAGTTTCTGCAATTTTATAGTGGATGATCATGTCAATGATAACTATTTGCATAGGCAATAACATATGCTATCAAAGAATTGCATAACTACTAAGCCTTAAAATAGTTTAGTTACAGCAGTCACATTCATTATACAGCATTTTTATCATATGATTTTCATAGTGAAGCTATAACAGAACTAACCATTCATGAGAATCTACAACAAATGTATTTGCTGTCAGAAGATATGACTTCTGTGCAGCACAACCATAACTGTCCTAAGAATCAGTTTGCTGTCATGAACCTGCCATGCAACAAATGTAACAGGACCACTTCTACACACAAGGACTTCTAAATTTACAATGGAACATCAACTGCACATGATTGAGCAGCTGGGCATACGTAATGAACAAAATTTGATTAGATATAATCTTAATACCCACCACCTTTCTTTTCCTTCTTTTCCCCTTTCCCTGCAGCCTTGTCAGCTTTCCCTCCTTTCTGCACCTGCTTCTGTTCAGGCTTGGCTTCCGCAGGCTTGGGTGCTGGTTCAGCTGTCTGCGGCTGTGCAGCAGGTGCCTCTGTGTCTGTGGCAGCTGTCCTTACAGGTAGGTACACCTGTTGCACTGTGTAGCAGGGAAGCACAAATTTTATAAAGACAAAAAATATCTGTTACTTTATGTATATAACAAAATTACACACCTGAAATTTGTGAAAGGCATATGTACATGTATTTCTAAGTACAATGTACATATTCTATATATTCTGAGTTGCTACATATTATTTTTGTACTTAGGCCACACCAATTTAATTTCTTGGTTAACGGATTCGCCCTCTTCATTTTTTTCTGATTTGCAAATAAAAATAAAAATTCAGAATCAATTGCAAAATGCTCATATTTTGCCCTGAACAGTTTTCTTCCTAGTTGTTACAGTTATTCCATCTTTCAATGCAATGGTATCATTAAAAGTTCAAAATTCAGTGTTTAAATTTTGGGCCAGCCTGGTGTGTTGACTTCATGGCTCCTATTGTACCATTTTGGGCCATAATAGGATGCCTAGGCCTGTTTTTATTATTTATTTTTTCGCCCGCCTGCTCCATTATTTTTGTAGAAATATCCATTAACCAAGAAATTAAATTGGTGTGGCCTTACCCAGAAATGACAACCCACTGCCCCTAGACTACCTTTACCTTTAACTTTTTAGAATGGTAGTAAAATATCAAGCCCACATATTTCTGACTGGATGAACGTACTAGTACAGATCTTACCTCCATTCTGGATCTCGGCCATGGTGAGCTTGGCCTTGAGGTCATTGACCTGTTGTCTCAGCTGGTCATTCTCCTTCTTCAACCGCTGCTCCTCTGCAGTGACTGTTACAGACAGGACAAGTTTGAATTTATCTACTTGGAGTACTATAATAAATTTTGAAATGTTGTCTCTGTATATTCTATATCAGTATAGCTGGTATAACTGCCCTTTGATGTAGCACATCAGCTTCGCAGGCATGTTGTGGCAGCAGCTATATTACACCAAACGACATAACAAACCAAGGACCTAGGACTAGTAGGAGTTGTTCCCGTATTCATTTCTTGATACAAAATTCTTTTAACCTTCATGTATGTACTCCACTGTGTTCTGCTGCTGCAGTAGCTTTTCATGTAACCACCTATATATGTGTAGAGGTGTACTAGCTCTTAGTTAGTTCTATTTCTTCTATTCAACATTTTGCCAGACATGATACCCCTTGAACTTATACGTAGAATGTTGATAGACTCATACCAGCTAATAATCTTATTATCATCATCTGCCATACATTGTACCTGTTACAAGTGTTGTGCAATAAACTTTGACTTGACTTGACTTGTAAAATATGTACATCCTTACCTGCACTGTCACCTATTTATATATAGCTACCTGGGTACCATCATTGTGTACTTTTACGCTCCCTCCCTCTTGTCATTAGTGAAAGCATGCAAGTTAAAGCATGCAAGAATAATACCCGTGCTATGACCTATGTGCCCCCTAGCGGCTGTCTATGTTACTGCAGCAGTACTGTACACACCAGCATGCTGTTTGAGCATCTGTATCTGTGTCTTGAGGATGTTGATGGCTTCATCAGCCTGCCTGGCTCTCTGCTCCAGACGCTGGACCACTTCGGGGGACGCCATCCTCAGTACTGATCTCACCAACAGTCGACTGCTGCAGGGTCCAAATATATCAACCAAGGAGGTTAAAAAATCAATTGATTTTAAAGCTCCTTGTATCAACTTTTACTAGTTTTATTACATAAACATCATGTCATAGAAATACCTAGTGTAACAGTGGGGGATTTATAGGCGCTACCAACTGACCCGGCCGATGGGTCTAGACCTTTTTGGCTGAGCGGTTAGAGCGTCTGGTTATGAAGCTCTGGTGCCCGGGAGGTTGTGGGTTCGAACCCCGGCCCGGGACCAAAAGGGTTTCTACTGGCTCCTCCTGTTTCTTACAGTGGTTCCCACACCAGTCCTGGGAGTTCCGGCAAAGAGTGCCGCTCCAGGGATGTCGATTTCGGAAGATTCGAGGCCTAGACTAATCTTGAAAAGAAAAGGGGGACTAGTATAACAGTGGGGGATTTATATATAGGCGCTACCAACTGACCCGGCCGATGGGTCTAGACCTTTTCGGTCGAGCAGTTAGAGCGTCTGGTTATGAAGCTCTGGTGCCCGGGAGGTTGTGGGTTCGAACCCCGGCCCAGGACCAGAAGGGTTGTTAATTACTGGCTCCTCCTGTTTCTGATAATAATACCTTTACCTTATTGGGGGCCTACATGACGCGACAACGCTCTACGCTAAATTTTAAGCGCTGGCTACGTATTACGTTGAATTCAGGAGGCCTCTCCATTACGCTTTACAATAAATTACAAGTGGCTATAATGCATTACATAGAATTAAACTGAATTACGTGCTACATGGAATACGCCAATTACACTCTACGTTGAATTAGAGCGGTCCGTCTACCTACTATACGTAGAATTAAGACGTCCAATTGCACTCTACGGAAAAGGGCATGCGGAACCACATTATTGGCTAAATTGGAGTTAGATCTGAGAATACCAGCTACATATGTACATCTTAAATTAAGTTATATGTTGAATTTCATACATGTTGTAATTTATTACATCACCTTTAATATCAATACTAGTACTGTTATGGTTACGGATAGTGTCAATATAGGGGGTACTTTGATAAAGATAATGTAACGGTTAAATTGTTGAGATCAATAACGTTTAAGTTTTTATTTGACAAGGAAAGACTACGACTGTTCATATAGATCTGGAGGAATGTGTTGAACGTCCTTGGTATGACAGATATGCTTGTTGTTGTTGTTGTTGTTGTCCTTGTTTAACGTCTAATATATCGCTAGACGTGGTCACTTGGTGCTCATTGACGCATGGTTCAGTTCAGAGTCAAAAAGTCTCTCTAGGTATTTAACTCTTGGTGCCTTGTGGTTGAGTGAAGCTTGAAGTGTCTTTATGAGAGCACATCAAAGCGGTGTGTACTCTCAATGTACCGGGAGAGGGCCAGGTACATCTGGTTGTTCGCTGCATCTGAAAGTCCTTCTCTCATTCCGGCTAGGGTGACGATGCCTGTGTCTCTGTTTTCTTCTGCTACGTTGTATGTCTCGTGTATGCTGTCAGCTTCTAGTAGCATGTGATGTCTTTCGTTGTCATAGCGAGGGCAGTGGTACAGGTAGTGGTTGGTGGTCTCAGGGACGTCACAGTTTGGGCAGTGTGGTGGAAACTCAGGGTTTTTCCAGTTCTGATATGCATTAAGTCTAGTGTGACCGCTCACTAGCTGATTGATGGCGATTTGTGTGGTTCTTCTTCCAAGTGTTCTGCCCTTCTTCTTCATGTTTGTGCCGATTTTCTGCATGTGTACGCTTGTTGTGTTCAGATTTGTTCTTCTGTTCCATCTTTTATTTGCCTGTGATTCTATGTGTTTCAGAGCTTGATGTTTCGTCCAGGATGTGTTGTTAATGGTCTTTGCTTCATTGGCTGCCAGTTTCGCTTCCTTGTCTGCGATCTCGTTTCCAGGTATTCCCATATGACCGGGGCACCAGTTGAACTGGAAGGTGAGGCCCTGTAGTTTGAGCTGTTGTAGCTTGCTACGGATTGTATGTACTAAATTGTTGTAAGCCTCTACTTGTTGGACACCTGTGACTGTTTCAATTGCCGCTTTGCAATCACAGAGTAGGAGCAGTTTGTTGGCTGTAGTTGGTCTTCTGATGATGGTGTCGATGGCGAGGTGGAGGCCCTCCAGCTCGCCTTCGTAGTTGTTGGATTTAGTAGCTATCGGTTTTCGTACAGCATAGGGGTCGGTCATGCCCCATTTCTCGTATATGACTGCAGCGCATCCAGTGGGGCTGGGATTGCTCAGGGCAGATCCATCAGTGAAGATGACTGTGGTTGGTTCTGTGTTGGTTGCAATGTCTTGAAGTGTGGCTATGATTTCCTGTCGTGCTCGATCTTTCCCCATGGTAGTGTTAGTCTTTGCAGTGAAGGTTCCCGTGATGTTGCCCATAGTGAAGGGAGGTAGACTGGCGTCACAGTAGGGTTCTTTGTCAACAGTGCTGTCTGCGATCTCTCCTTTTAGCTCATTTAGTCTTGTGCGTAGTAGATGTAGCGGTGATCCGGTCTGGGTTGTTGGCTCCTGAGATTTTGAGTGTGTTATTGCATCAAAGATGGGGTTGCCGGTGTGCTTTGTTGACATTCTGAGGTAGCTCTGTGCCTGTCGGCATGATAAGTGGATGTCAATGGGTGGGATGCCTGTTATTGCCTCCAGTGCCTCAGTGCTGGTCCGTTCAAGACACCCCGTTGCCGTCAGTAGTGCCTGTCTTTGTATGGCTGAGTATGCCTTGACAAGTTTGTCTGTGGCTGTGACGGTACATTCAGCGGCATAGTCTAGGATGGGTCTAACAAGTGTGGTGTAGAGCAGGATTTGAGCCTGTTGGTTGGGATTCTTCTTGGATTGTGTGACCTTGCTGACTGCTTTGAGTGCCTTGAATGCTTTAGTACGTGTCGCCTTGATGTGATTGTCGAAGTTCAGTTGGTTGTCTAGAGTAACGCCTACCAACTTAAAGTCCTTCACAACTTGTATGATCTTGTCATTCACTTTGAGGTCGTCTGTCACTATGTTGTCGGCGTGTGGCGGTGGGAAGAACATGACTTTGGTTTTGTTGTGTTGAATTTTCATATTCCAGAGTGGGCACCAGCTATTCATGACTTTGGATATGCCTGCTTCTACCTCTTCTTTCACGGCTTTGACGTCTTGGCCAGCTTTCCATGCTGCAGCGTCATCCGCATACTGGAAATTGTTTAGGGGGATGTCTGAGTATGCGTCAGCTGTGTAGATATTGCAGAGTGTAGTGGACAGGACTGCCCCTTGTGGAATTCCTACTTTGGACTGTTGTGGCGTTGTAGTTATGGAGTTGATTTTGTAACTGGCCTCTCTGTCCTTCAGGAAGCAGTGGAGGTAACAGAGCATCCTCCCATTGATACCTCTTCTGATGAGCTTGTACAGTAGACCCTCTTGCCATACCCGGTCGAAGCATGCTTCATAGTCTGCAAAGACAGCGACTGTTGTTTGGTTCTTTTTCCATGCTTCTCGGATGTCTTGAATGAGTCGGAGAACACCGTGTGGGGCACTTCGGTGTTTCCGGTATGCCTCCTGTGTTGGAGCCAGGTGGTTGTTGACCTCTGCCCACCATGTGAGGCGGTTGTTGACCACACGCTCCATAATCTTGCCAAGGACGCTGGATAGGGTGATGGGACGGTATGACTTGATCTCGTTGTAGTTGTCCTTGCCGGGCTTCCGGATGAGTATTTTGGTGTCCTGTTTCATTTGATTAGGTATCTCTCCCTGTATCCATATGCACTGCAGCATGTGTAGCAGTGCTTGTGACAGACCGTCCCCTCCTCTCTTTATCATGATTGGGAGAATTCCCTCTATGGGGCTGGGTGCAGAGTTACCATCCATCCTGTGAATGGCGGCTTGTACTTCTTGTAGTTGGAGTTCTGTATTCAGAGGGTCGTCTTCTTGATTGTCATCCTTGATTGTTTCTGCTTGATGTTCCAGGACTGCCTGTACTGCTTGTGTGATGCTGTTTCTCCAGTGAGAGAGCTCTCCAGGCATTTCTACCCCGCTAGGTGCATAGGTGTCAGTAGCCACTTGTGCGATCTCTTGGTCTGTGATGGCTAGGTCTCCGTTGGGTAGGTTCAAGGGTTGTATGACTGTTTTGGTGTTCTTGCTGAGGTGAGTTTTGATAGTTTTCCAGAAGGTCTGTGGTTTCCTTGGGTCCATGCTTTTTAGTTGTGATTCCCAGTGCTTGTTTCGTGCATCATCTTCCATGTGTACCAGTGTTTCTTTCTCCTTCAGGTACTTGTTGAGATTGTTGGAGTCCCTTCTTCTGTGGAATTTTCTGAGGGCGGTTTTAGTGATCTTCATCTGTTCTTCTAGTGCAGTATTCCAGTAACCTTTGCTGTGTTTGGTGATGGTCTTTTTGCTTATGATTCCTTCTGTGCATTTCATCATGGTGTCTTTGAAGCTTTCGTACAGGTCAGAAATACTGGTGCTGACAGAGTTTGTGTTGACTGCATTATGCTCCAACCAGATTGTGAATTGTTCGTTTGTGGTTTCTTCCCATCTCTGCCAGTCTACATTTCGAAGATCCCATCTTTGGACTTTTATGTCTGGTTTCTTGGTTCCAACTTGCATAGTGATCAGGTGGTGGTCAGTTTTCAGCTGAACTTCAGGTTGTACTCTCCATTTCTCTATCAGCTGTGTTGCTTGTCTGTTTGTGATGGTAAGATCAATAACACTGTTCTCTCTTGTTGGTCTGTGGTTGTTCATGACATGACGTGTAGGCTGTTTGATAGTAGGTGGTTGTTGAGGAGGGTTCCGAGGTGGTTTTCCCTTTCATCCCCCCATGCAGGGTGTCGAGCGTTGAAGTCTCCGCATAGAATCAGAGGTTTGTTGGTGCCCTGGAGAGACTTAAGTGTGCTCATGACTTCTTCTATTCCTTCCTTGTTATCAGGTGGTACATATGCTGAGATGAGGATAAAGCACGTAGTGTCTGAGTAGATATTAACAGCTGCAATGTCCGCATGTGTCGTGTTGTCTAGTTTCATTTCTAGTACTTTGATGTGGTCTTTGGTTGCAATGGCTACTCCTCCTCCTCTCTTTGTGGCTCTACTCCTGAAGGTCCAGTTCCATGTCTTAAGACACTGTGGTTTGTCTGTTTTGTTCCAGACTTCTGACAGACAGAGTATGTCGATGTTTTGGTGATTGCACATGTGTTCAACAAGTGTTGATGACGTATTGATGGAACGTATGTTCACCTGTGCGATGTTCATGTTGTTACAAAAAAGTGTTTACTGAGGTAGGCTGGAAGACTTGATGCAGAGATTGATATGTGTTCACAAGTGGAGAGAAGTACTAGTACTAGTAGGATTGCTAGTACTACTAGGGCGTTGCAAGTTGTGGAGTTGTTTAAGAAGTCTTTCTTCTAGACTCTGTTTGACTGTTTGAAAATGTTTGCACCGTGGGTCGTTGGCACTATGGGATCCACTGCAATTGATGCACTTCAGTTTGCAGGGGTAGGGGTGTCCTTTTGGTCCACTACACCTGATACAGCGGGGTTCTTCCTTACACAGTCTAGAGATGTGGCCTATCTTGTGGCAATTGTAGCACCTGATTGGTGTAGTCTTCTTGCTTCTATAAGGCTCTACAGTGATGCTAACTCCTCTTATTGTGAGGTTGTGTACAAAGAGTTTGTTGAGTTGACCAGTTGTTACGTCTACACGTGCTACTCTAAGGGGTTTACCAGTGTCCTGATAGCGATATCTGTGCGCTTTGAGTTGGATTCCAGTTTGTTCAAAGATGTTGTTCTCAATTTCTTCTTCAGTCACTTCAATTGCAATGTTCTTAAGTATAGCTCTTCTACCATAGATCTGGTTGGTTCTATGGCTAGTGACCTGATCTGCTTTGGCGTTGAAGGCACCGTCTTTCCACGGTTGTAGGAGTTCTTCTGAGGTTCTGCTGTTTTTACAATGAACGGCTATACCTCCCCTAGGAAGAAGGTATGCTAGATTGATGTCGTGAGCACAGTGTGGTTTGTTTCTGGTAATTTCGGCAAGTATCTTCCCACTGTTTCTGTATTGCTCAGGTTCAGGGATCCCGTCGATGAGAACAATATGTTGCGAGGGATCTTGGCTGTTGTTTTCTTTACGGGTGTTTTGTGAGAAGTTTTCCGTTGGTTTCTGAATGTCTTTTGAAATGATATGGTTGTTATCAAGCTCAAGAATAATGCACTGTGCACAATGGTAGGGCTCGTTGTTTCTTGTGAGGTAGTCACAAACCTTGGGAGAGAGTTTGGCACAGGAGTTGTGCCACCACTTATCACAGTTGTCGCAACAGATCCAACGTCCACCTTCTGGATGATCGTTGGCACAAACACAGACCTCTTCGTCCGTAACCTCTTGTGAGACTGAAGTTTCAGCTAACCTGGTTTTCTTAGATGCTGTTGTTTTTGGTGCTGTTGCATTTAGAGGAACATGGGAGTTTGATTTTTCCTGTAATTCCTGCTTTACTTGGGCACCGCTAGAAGTAACAATAGGTGGGCCTTGGCTTAGAGTGTATTCCTTGCCTTGCTTCTTTTTTTGAGCTCTTGTATACGGCATTCCCAAAGTTCAAATTCCAAAAACAATATGGCGTCGATTTGTTTTGTTTGGGTTTCTGAGATTCAAAGAAGGCACATTCCTTATTTTGTTTTGATGTCCAGAAGATGAAACGAACTGCTGCAGTTTGGAAAATAACTGACCTTTAGTTGTGAGGAGATGAATCTCAGTCCTTTCAAGAGTGTTGTGGTCAGTCCTCCTTGGAAGAAAGTAGAAAAACTGCCTTGACTTGGCTGACTTGGGTTGATTTGGAATGGTGAAAAACGACTTGGAATGTCTTGGAACGCTGAGTAACGGCTTGGAACGTTGAAAAACAAAGGCGCTCTCTCACACTTGAGTCGGCGTCAGGAAAAGTCCGTAATCAGGCCGTCAAAGTCAGGTTTACAAACACTTTAGTTGAGAGGAGATGAATCTCAGTCCTTTCAATAGTGTTGTGGTCAGTCCTCCTTGGTAGAAAGTAGAAAAACCGCCTTGGCTTGGCTGACTTGGGTTGATTTGGAATGGTGAAAAACGACTTGGAATGTCTTGGAACGCTGAGTAACGGCTTGGAACGTTGAAAAACAAAGGCGCTCTCTCACACTTGAGTCGGCGTCAGGAAAAGTCCGTAATCAGGCCGTCAAAGTCAGGTTTAAAAACACTAAAAACGTATCCAATAACTTCGATGACTTTAGCGCAGCGACAAAACTTTGTTTGCTGAGAAAAATCCGTTGTACAAGCCTTATTCTCGAGAAAAAAAGGCTTGAGAAACGGGAGCCCTCGAAAAACACATCCGCGCTTCACACATCGAACTTCGAATCCCTATATGGCTATATGGCTGAAAACCATCACGCGATCACCATTCATCCACGAAATACACATGTAAATGCAATTGTTCAGACACTAAAGTCCTTCTACCTTTTCCCTGTGAAGTTATCTCATCATAGGGATTTAAAAAAGCCAAATTTCTATCGGAAAAAGGCTGCAAATTTGAGAAAGAAGAGCGGACAAAATCTGCTTACCTTGCAGAGAGAAGCAAACTCATGGGGTAAAAGGTCATACGCTGAGGCTGGAAGCAACCATTCATGTTAAGGGTCGCACCAATAGCTTTTCAAAATTACTCACTATTAACCTTTCAAAATTACTCATACACAAAATTCTAAAGTGAACGCAAAATATAACTTTATCTTTTAAAATTTATGTATGATCTCTGCCTTTTATTCGATAACAAAGATTCCAACAGTACTCATCGAATATTTTACCCGCATGTGATAGTGGCACATTCTAAAGTGACAAGATGGCGGTTTTGTGAAATTTTTTTAGCCGGTCAGGTGAGTTTTTGTCGTTTTTATTGGCGTTTTGACCCGGACAACAGTCAATGAGCACGTTCTTAACACACACATGAAACTAATGTCTTGTTTCACGCGGACTTTCCTAAATCTTGCCAATTCACTCGCTTATCTTTTGAGACGTTTTAAAATGAATGGGGAGGGGGGCGTTGTCATCCCGGAAGTTTTTATTGTGGGAAATTTTCTGCTGGGACTCGATTGTTGAGTGTGTCAAAATAGCTGCAAATGTAAACGTGTAAATATTTCATATGATTGTGAGCTTGCTATAGTGCTTTCTGGTGACACGACAAGAAGAAGAAATAATCTTTTATGTTCTTAATACCATAATTTGATTCAAATGCTCATAAACTTCTCTGCTTTTTCCCCAGTGAGGCAAACATCGTCTGACGAACTTGCACGCCATGCTTCCTCTTGGGAGAGGGCAGCTGGGGGTGTCGACGTTCTTCGCCTCGGCCCACCCCCATGACAAGTGTGGCAGTAACGGTCTGCCCCTCACCCCAAACTCCATCAAGATCCTGGGCAGGGCTCAGAGACTGAAGACCATCACCCACCCTCGTCTCTGTCAGTACATCGACTTTGCCAGGGGGAAGAATGGTATGTTTTTATGTTTACCGAAAGAAAACATATTGTTTTTGCTACATATCCTCTTCTTCCTCTTCTTATTCTCCAAACAGTGACCTCTGACCTGACTGAACCAGATTGTCTGTCACCATGGTAAATGGTTTTGGGTTACATAATGCTGCAATTTTGTAGTAGGAGGGATTTAGACCCTTGTCACCATATATGTGAATGTGTTTGTGTTTGAGTAAGAATTAACAGAGCAGACCATATGCGAAGGTAAACATTATGCATTTGCTTTGCAAATGTTATTTTTCTAGTTGAGTTTTGAGTTCCAGAGCTGGAAGCAAAATTTGTTGGTCAACATTCAGGGATCGAAATACTGGGTGCATGTGCACCTTAGTGCACCCAAATTTGGAGCTGTGCACCCAATTTTCTTCTGTGGGTGCACAGGCCACCCAAATATTTTTATAGGATTACGTTTGTAAAGATGCATGTCATGTATAGTACAAAGCATATTCTTAACTTCTATTCAGAAAAATACTAAAATCATTGCAGTAGTTTTTTTTTATGAAACGTAATTAGTTTCTGCTATCATTCTACTTATTTTATTTTATATGGTATATTATTTTCCCAAAAATGAATTTCAAGCCCTGACATTCTATCCCTCTTTCAAGTTTCAGGACTAACTGATAAATAGAAAGATTACATTTGTAAAGCAAATTGCATAATGTTTACCTTTGTATATGGTCTGCTCTGTTAATTCTTACTCAAACACATTCGTATATATGGTAACAGGAGTCTAAATCCCTCTTGTTATAAAATTGCAACATGATGTAACCCAACACCAGTTACCATGGCGACAGACGTTTGGTTCTGGTCATTTAACCTTTTTTGTTTGGAATGGAAGGATAAGAGGAAACAGAGCAAAAACGATATGTTTTCTTTAGGTAAACATAATTATCTTAGAATGCCATTAGTATTATTAAACATTGATTGTAGGGATTGATCTTGTATGACAGGCTTGTATTTCTGATTTTTAGAACGACTCATCATCGTGGTGGAACACTATGAAGACAATGTCAGACTAGCTGCTAAAGAGGGAAGACTCTCCAGGTAACATTGTGTTTTTCCTTTATGGCAAAAATCATACTGCTTCTTGGCTACAAGGTTTTCACAATTTGTTAATGATTTTATGGTGTTGCATTTTTAAATTAGACTAAGACAAGTATTATAGATTATGATAAGTAATGGATCCTAAGTCTTATGTTTCTTGTTATATGTTTAATGCTATGTTTCCTTTTACTGTGTGCTCTCTATATCAGCCCAAACAAAATCAAAAAGCTGGCTTTTGAAGTGCTCCTGGGGCTGGAATACATGAACAAGCGAGGGCTAGTCCACAGGGCACTGTCTTCTCACAACGTTCTGCTGTGTCCAGAGGTAATACTTATACCCATCTACATCTGTACACAAATCTAACATGTTGACATGATGTTTTATTTTGATATAACAAGTATTGACTTAGGAACATACAAACATGCCACTGCCATTTTGCAACTCCTTTTCATACAAAATACATGGCTGTAAATAACCATTGCCAATACTATAACCATTCTTCTCAAAAGTGCTGTTGTGATGAGCAATTGACACTTAATGATAATAATTAGTTTTAATTATCTGTAAGTTTACTACTGATGTCTTTTCCAAAGGGCAAGGCCAAGCTGTCAAAGTTTGGACTGTACCACATGACAGGAGGAGGGGCAGATGTGGCATTTCCTATTGGGTAAGTCCTTGGTGCTGAAAAGCCTTCCATTGATACTTTTTCAGTAAAGACCTCGTTATGTACATGTATACCTTTGATGATTGTCGTAGATACGATAGCCATCATATCTGGTTGAAGTTATGTTGTTGTGGTGGTCACCGCTATTTCTGCAATTAATGGTTTTAACGGTTTTCATTGAGATTGTAAAATAAAAGATTACTGCTTTCTTTTTTGTACCCAACTGTATTGAATCTTTGCTATTGTTTTATTAGTGTTAAATTCATGACAAAACATGTATTCCAACCCAGCCATCCACAGTACATGGCACCTGAGGTTCTGTGCCCTGGCCCTCCTGTGGACACTGATGTGTATGATGACACAGATATGGACATGCCCTTGTCTGGTCCTAAGGTGGACGTGTGGGCCTTAGGAATGATCCTATTGGAACTCTGTCTGGTACATAATCCTGTTTTAATCTGTGTTTCAAAATGTGCTGTCCTTCTTGGTTATTGGTTCAGAAGAAATATCAGTTGATGGACTTGAGTAGAGTCAGTGTAATTATGTAAAACATGTAGAAGACTGTGAACATTGCACTGCACCTGACCATAAAACAAATGGGATTCAAGACATGCCAAGACATTTCTGTAATTGAAATTATGTAACAGGATATGTCAAGAATTGTTACTTGGAGATACACATCAGAAAAACCTCCACAGCTTCAACTTTACCTGCAGCTGCTTGCATTTGCAGGTGGTATTTTGAGCTTTGATAAGTTATGATGCAAGGTTGTTGTACCGGGTTGTCAGCTCAGTTCCATATTACTTTTCTTTTTTTTGACAAACAGGGAGAACAAGTCTGGGCCAACTGCACTCTTGCCGATGTCTTCAAAAAGATGTTCACATACACAAAGTCAGGTTAGAGAAACATTATGAATCAAATGTATACAATTAGTTTGTTAATGATATTAACTTTTATTTTAATGTGCATATCCAACACTCAACCTCAAAGTATTCTTACATTGTATTTCAAAATTGGACTCAAGCTTAAGACTCATACATTGTACTTCAAATCGGGCTCAAGACTTCTTTGTTTTATTTCTTCAGACAAGGCATCTCATCCCTTTGATAGCATCATACAAGATCATCATGCAGAAGACAAAATCAAGGTATGAACTTACTTGGAGTCTAAGCAGTTTAACTTAACTTAACTTTGATTTTATTTGTTTTATTTCTTGTTCAATCCATTTTCATGATTTTGTAGACTTTGCTACATCACTGAAAAAGTTACATTCAGATTTTGTATTGCCACAGATATCTTAGGACTCCACAATTGTAGATATTTTATGTATCTCTTATGCTGGCAATTCTATCCATTTATCGTGGTGTTTAATCTTTTATAATCACATGATAATAACAAACCTCTACTTTCTGTAGAATCTACCTGAGGATCTCAAAGCAATTCTGCAACTTTGTCTGACTGTTTCTCCCTCCAAAAGGTAAGACATACCGGTAAAGTGGAAGTCATTCTTTGAATCTGAACAATTTTGTTTCCCCAAACATCAACCAATGACCAGTTGTTTTACAAACCACCTCCCACTTAATGACCAATGGACAGCTGTGTTTTACAAATGCAGTCCCACTGAATGACCAATGACCGGTTCTGTTTTACAAACCTAGTCTCACTGAATGACCAATGATCAACTGTGTCTTATAGACCTTGTCCCACTGAGTGACCAATGGCGAACTTTGTTTTACAGACCCAGTCCCAGCACCCTACTACAGCATGAAGCCTTTGCAGAGTTGTCTAAGGCAGAACCACCGTACAAGAACAACATCAAACTCTTCTCTGTAGAGCTCAGATGTAAAGACCTAGAACTGCCTGAGTTTGATGGAAGGATAGAAATAGGTAAATCTACATGTATCTCATCTTTAAGAAAAATTGACTGTGTCAAACTGTTTTGGATATTAGTTATCCCTTTTGCTACTGAATAGCTGTAGTCAGGACTTTTAGGACTCAAAATTTCGAAAGTGCTACATGTCATTATTTCAATACAAGATGACAAATGGAAGAGATAATTTTACTGGATTGCATGCTTGATATCTGAAGAAATATTGTGTAAAGGAAAAATTATACATTGTCAGTAACAATCCCTCCTGTTTCTTAACATAAAGGTACACACACATAGTCAGAAATAAAGCCTGTTTAAGCAAATGTTACTAGAGTAGAAGATTGTAAAGAAAGCACAGCACACATGACTTACTACTATTTGTTATCGTCATCTTTTCAGATGATGACCTACTTGCTGGTCGCAGGTTTGACGAGGTGTACTACCTCTGGACTCTGGCAGGGGGCGATCTTGAAGGGGAACTCAAGAGGAAGGGCATCATTAAGCCTAAACCTGCTG